ACACACACACACACACACACACAAACACACACAAATACACGCATACACATACACACGCACATAAACGAAAACACATTTAAATTTTTTTTAAACTTAAAATAGGTGTTGTTATTTTCTACCTTGTTTTTGTAACGACATTTTCCATTCAGTTTGTATGGAAAATCGTTTTCAGCCCAGGAGGTATGGCAATATATGTCACTAAAAATCTCGTTCTCCTCCGATACTGACTGTGTTTTGCCTCGCTGAAGTCAGGAAAGGACACTCTTGGATCTGTTTTGCGTTTAATTAAAGTTGGCTTCTTTCATTGCATCCATTCAAAATGATTTGGAGGGGAACTGCGCAGAAGTATCCTCCCAGGAGGAGTCAAAACAACCAACCAGAGACAATTGGAGCCTAATTTCTTTCAGAAATCATCACTTTTTTATGCTGACATCAAATCCTAGTGTTGTTTATTTTATGAGTTTTCGGTTAATTAGATTCTCATTAGTCACTTTTATGCTCAGCATTAAGAAAATGAGATGGCAATACATTTTTTAAAATACTGTCTATCTTGAAAATCTACATCTTTACACAAAAAGAGGTACTGTTGGTCCCGCTCAGTGGAAGCTTAGAGTAGAGGTGATTTTTTAATCAGAATTTATGCATCAAAAATTCTCACAGAAAAGAAAAATGTAGTCGCAAATACGTTTGTAGAAACCCGAAGAAAAGACACATGACTGACTCCCAATAGAAAAAAAATATAGACATTTCTCTCACTGAGCTCAACATCAAAGGAAAAATGTGTGTCATTTACAAGTGCAAACCATGTTAAGATTGTACTTCCAAATGATTCAGAAAGGTGGGAAATGCAATGTAACTGTAAGGCCTGTTCCAGTTTGATCTTCCTTGCTAGGGCTATGTAGGAAATTAAACCTGTTAATACAACTTCTCTCGCAGAGTTCTAGCGCCATTCCACGTGCTCGGTTGACAGCAGATCCTATATTGTAGAATGTAAAACGTGTTGACTATAAAAACTGTGCTTTACCTAGATGGAAGAAATACTCATGATAACTAGACAATTTCAAAATGGTGAAACAAAATTCACCAGGATAGTGGGAAAAAAGTTTCAAAGCAAAGATCATAATATTAGATTCTATGGAAAGTTCAAGTCTAAGTTCACACACACAATATGTGTGCATTTAAGAAACATGACTATACAACAAATCAGTTTGAACCTTAGGCTGTCATTTTAAAAAAACAACATAAGAAAGGATAGAGTAATGGCTCACATTGACTTCGTAGGGAACTAAATTGGAAAGTGTGCATGTAAAGTCCAACACCTTCAGTTGGTACATGCCAACATCCGATTATATTGCTTGATGGATTTTATATTGCTGAAGATAAGACTAAGGTTCAATCTTTTTGCTGGGTGTCTGATAGTCTTTTGTACATTCCCTCATCGATTTGAGTATATCTTTACCTTGTCATATTATTATTAGGACCAATGTGCACCATGTTTAGCGCACACATTTTTTCAGTCATGGTCCTTCGATACAGTAGAAACAGAAAACAAAATTCGATTTCTTCAGCACACTGGAATTTTTCAGCAGTAGGACATGGCAACGACATAGCCGTTAGTATCGGGGCTCCTGTGAAACGGGTATGTGGCCAGTTGGTGAAATTTGGTACTGATAATATTCTACCGGCATGCACGATTGGCGAGGACTTTTCAAATACCAAATCGTCAATTAAGTTTTGTAAGATAGCAGAAAAATGAAACAGATCCTTTCAATGAAAGGCTGCCCAAAAAGAAACTCAAAACCATTCCTAAAACTACTGAACATTTTCAAGAGGTCACAAAATCTCTGAAGGAAATCAAATACATGTACCTACCTACAAGCTGTTATTGTGAAGGAACTTCCATTTAATCATCAGTTCAACCAGCCAAGGTCGGAGACATGCACACGCACGTCACATTTGAGGACTACAGCCTGATACATTATGATGCTTCCTCTTTCCTGAAGAAACTTCATGGATGCCAGGTTCAAAAACAAGTAATGGGAAATAATTTTGTGGAACAGAAAGAACATGCAGAGACACATGCTTTTCATATGGTTTACACTCTTCCAAGGCCATTCCAAAATATTCTAAAGGCAAATTATTCAAACAGCATTTTTTCTGTACGGGTTCATGCTAATGTTAACTCCTTGCCCGCCAGTGGTAAACTATTTGCCAACAGTAAAGATAAGAACCCTGATCTCATCTGTTTAAAAATAGTCCTTGAACATGTGGCTTAGTACCATTTATCAGAGATAAAAAGCTATGAAAAATGTTTGGTAAGTATTCAGGT